AGATCCTCCACAAGCAAGGATCTGTATGACATTTTCGGCCACCAAACCGTTTGATGGTCCCGGTCAGGTCGACGTACCATTCTCTTGGAGCCGATGTCAGCCCGTAGGCTGATCCCAACAGTTCCACCATCTGGTGCTCCTTGAGGTTCATTTTCTTGGCCAACTCAGGAAGGGGCTGGCAGTAGAGAGGGTGAAGTCGTTCCGGAGACTTGGCCTGAAGGAAGGCCGTTTTTACGTCACCGGATAACACCCGCCACTTGTATGCCGTTGCCGCATTCAACAGGAGCATCTTCGACAACCGAGACAACGAAGGCGATGAAGTATCTTGCTCCAGCAGCTGGGGGTCGCTCAAGCCAAGGATCACAATCCTCGCCTTAGCTTTAAGCTTCCCCGGTTGGTCCTCTCCAGCATTTTTGAACGTGTAAACCCATCTCATTCTCAAGGCTTGATCAGGCTTGATGGAGGGGCATGCGGCCTTGACTACTTTCTTGGCAATCCATGAGTCCAGCTCAGCAGTCTTGGCCACATTCATGGCGGCCTTCTGGTCCTCGTTGAGTCGGTTCCATGCCACCTCGACTCCTTTCTGGACCTTCTTGGACATGAATTTTCCTGGGTCCTTGAGGATGCGTTTCCAGGCCTTCTCGTCCTCAGGAATGTCCACCACCGCCGAGAAGATCCCCTGCTCGACATCTTCCTCATTGAGGTAGGCGATGTTGTCCTGTCGCCTTACATGCCAGGGTCGATCATCCTGCTCATGCGTGCGACGTTGCTGTCTGAAGTCCGGGTTGAAGCTGTCGGGGAGGTACTCGACATCTTGGAGTAGGCGTTCTGGGTCCCACTCGTTCTCGCCTCCCATGGTTGCGCTCGGCTCGGGATGAGCGCGTTTTCTCATCTCCCGATCTGAAATCAATTCCTCATCGGAGTCCTCCTGGCGCGGGACAGGTTCTCGGAGAACCGGAAGTCCTGGTGGTTCTCGTTGAGGTAGGCCTTTTCGGGCCTTCTGTCGTTTCTCCTTAGAGGTCCGAGGCCAGTGTTTTCGCCTTGGTCGAACTTCATCGTCGTAGGTCCCCTTGGCCATAAGCTTGCTCAGCGATGTCATTGTCCAGGGCATAGTCACCGCCGAGGTAGACTCAGCTACTAGCCTTTCAGCCTCCGACGCATGTCGAAGCTGAGAAGCATGAAAGCGTTTCAGCCGACCGCCCGCCACGGCCCAAACTATCAAGGACGGCCTTCTGAACTGTCCATCCACCTTGGTCTCACAAGCAAGGACTCGGCCTGGACCATACCATCGACCGACACGAAGACGGGGGCGGTCAACCATACTGTTTGCGGGTAAGTCGGCAGGATGCTGTAAGCGTCGAAAGTAAATCATGTCTCCGGGAAGGAACTGGGTGCTCCCCCTAGTCTTAGCATTCTTGGCCCGCGAGGCAACATCATGTGCCCGATGTTCAAGAAATGCTTTTTCGGCAGCTACTCGCACTTCTAGGTGGGCACCGAAGGGGTTGGTCTCGGACTGGGAGATCTCATCCGCAGTTGACTCCACCAGTCGAAGTCCCGGACTCCAGTCACGTCCGAGGGTCCATTGTAACGGAGAGAATCCGTGAACTCGGGCGAGCGAGTTGTGAGTCATGACCATAGTGAGGGCCGCGATCTTCGGGTCCACGGACTGTTCTCTGAGGAACACCTCAATCTTTTGCCTCACATGCCCAATTGTTCGCTCCACTTCGGATATCAGCTGGTGGTGTTCTGCAGGAGCTGCAATGATCTCGATGCCGTGGGTGATGCATTCCTCCGACAGAACAGTAGATCGGTGGGCCCCTTCCAGATCCATCTTTAGACGTTCCGGGTATCCAAAATAGGAGAACCAGGCTTCCCTTAGGACATCCACCAGTTGTTCTCCTGAAAGGTTTTGATGTTCGTCTTCGTGATGTCGGAAGGCCTCACGGATCACGGAGTAGCCGGACGCTTCGTCGACCATTAACACAAAATGGTGAACTTGACACCCCAGGCGCATCGAGAAACCATCAATCTGCAGGCACGACCACAGTTTGTCCGTTCGCTCTAGGTTCACGGCCGGAGCTGGGAGTCGGATCTTTCCTTCTTGACATTCATCACACTTCAACAAACTCACCGCTGCAATGACCTTGCTGTCTGCATTCCTTGCCCTCAAGTTCTTGATCAGCAGCCGATTGGAGGGGTGTCCGAACTTGCGATGCAGTTGTAGGGCCACTGCCATCAAGCGGTCCAATTCTTGAGACGTCAACGTGTTGAGGGGGGTGGTGTCCACAGTCATCACCATGTTTTCGCTGCCCCACTTCACCTCCATCTCCCCTTGCTCGTCCAACAGTTGGCACATTCTCTTCCATAGGGATGCTTCCACGTGTTCACGAGGGTTGAGGCTGTTCAGGAAGTGGGGTGAGGTAGAGGCTGCTCTGCATGCTCCAAGGTCAAGTCCGAGTCCACCATGTCCATACTGCCTCCAAAATCTTCTGACCTCACTGACCGTCATGGCCATGCTCTCTGGATGAAGAATCCAGACTACCTGTCCTCCGCCTTGAAGTTGATCTCGGGACAGAAGTAGAAGATGACGTAGGACTTTTAAGTACTTTCTGGCCTTGGAGGTAGCTCGGAAATCATCCTGAGGTGGAAACAGCACAGCAGGGCCTCGGGGTACATGACACCACATCCACTTCTTGGTTCCATTTTGTAGTAGTTGACGTGCTTGGGTATAGCCGTTGTGGAAGGAGAGGTCACATCCTTGGTCGAAACTCAGCTTCATTGACACAATCCCCTGGTTGAGGATCTCGCTGGCGAGAGACTCAGGTTCCATCCACGGTTCGCATACCTGGACCACGGTCACAACTGGAGGAGGTGGATAAGCTAGGAACACCTCGTCGATGGCCGCGCTCGCTGCCTTCAGGGGTTCCATAATCGCCCGCAGTCTTCCTCAGTCAACTTCTCCTCTTGGGACGGGAATTCGTCATCATCTTCAATCTCCATCTCATTCACTCCCAGCACCATTGGCTTGGCTGGCGCTGTTCTTGGAAGAATAAATCCATGTCGTCGTAGTTGACGTCTGAGTTCTGGATCCAATGAACTCACGCTCCGAGCAGTAAAGGCTGAAACTGATCCTCGGTTGCCAGTCCAATCCAAAGCTCCATGGAGGACCTTGGGATCGAAAGCGAGCGGCTTCTTGTAGGTGTCCATCACATAGCCTGGAACCTTCCCTCCAGTGGGTCTTTCTCGCCATCGTAAAGGGCCAGGGAGCTGATCCATGCCATCCGTGGCCTCGATCCACAACTCTCCTCCTTTAAAGGATCCCACTGAGCAAGTGAAGTTCTGTGAGTGGGTGAGGTTGTGATTGTCCTTGTGGAGCTTGCTCTTGAAATTGATCAGCACACTGAGAGACGTCCAAGTCTTCTGCATACCTCCACACCACTGTTCTACGCACTTGTTCAGAAAGACACACAGATCTGGATACTCCACTGTGGCCTTTGTGATCCCATATTGGCTCCCGTGGGCATACAGACCAAACGTAATGGCAAGTGATCTCTGACGCGACGACTCCCACACTTGACGCAATGGACCTCCCTGACATGCTTCTAGACTCATGACCACTTCCTCCAGCGCATCAACGGAAAAACGACCTGCTTGTAGGTGTCGACGACACTGATCTTGTACCTGGTCATAGTTCACGATCTGAACATGATACGAGGTCCCCAGGTTGTTCAGGATCGGTTCTGGTACTCCATCTGTTCTGCTCTCTAACATATCACTGGTCCCCAGGTTGTTCAGGATCGGTTCTGGTACTCCAGATGTTCTGCTCTCTGACGTATCATTGGTCCCCAGGTTGTTCAGGATCGGTTTTGGTACTCCAGCTGTTCTGCTATCACCTCGTTCGCTCGGAATGCTTTCCGTCCTGGGTGAGAAGGTAGTTCTTCGCTTTCTGCAGGAATCAAGATGGTGCCAGGGGACACCGGTGAGTCCTCGTCCTCGATGTTCAGCACTTCCTCCGGCACCTTCTTCTTGGGGTCTGCTTTGGGAGCTACCTTGGGGCCCTCGAGCGAGTTCTCCTTCGTCTTGTCCGGTGTATTGCGCAGCCTTCTGACTCGTTCTAGCTGCCGTAGTGCAGAATTTTCTGCAGCTGTCAGACTGATTTCCTTGTTGGTCGGGTAGTACTCGGTCTCCGGCGGCGCGTTCTGGATCATCTCTTTCGTGTCGCTGCTGAGGGGTCCCGCCTGGCGGTGGACCCCGTGACATCCCATACGAGGGATGTACTGCAACCTGACTTGACACTTCGTGCACAGTGTCCATTGGGCGAATTGGTTCGCTCTCGTTTTCGGAGTATGACTTCCTTGGCAGACTCCACCGCTCGCCCTTGGATCTCGGGGATCCACTCCTTCCTGGCGATCGAAGTCCAGTGGAAGGTGTTCGGTCTTCGGCTTGGTCTTCCCCTTTCCCTTCTGGCTGGGCTTCGGTGTCGCCGCCGAGCTCGAGGTCGTCACGGACTTGGAGGGATGCGACGCCATGGAGGGCTACCAAGGTTGCCAGAGTCGCTATGGATCTCATCGAATTGTCGTGGCTCGAGCCACACCGCTGTTCGGACACGACAAGGTTGTCCGGCTCACCGCTGTGCACATGTTCCGGACGTTGCTCATTGATGCTCTGCGGTAGACATGTCGACTGTGGCACAACACGCTCTCCATCACTCAACATGTACGCGGACTCGAAGGGATTTTCTTCTGGAGGAGAAAACATGTTCGGCGTGCTGCCCAGGTCAGCTACCAGGCATCCTCCGGACAGCCAGTCACCCCGAAGGTCAAGCAGTGCGTGTCCGCTGGGAGATCTTCTTAGGGGAATAGCTCGGGAAGTGTCGATGGCTGTGAAGACTATTATGAACTTCGAGAGGTCGAGGACTGCGCCTAGTCGCCGCAAAGTACGGATCCCCACCAACAAAGGAACACCAACGACGTCGAGCGTGTACAGGCCTAGATGAACTTCTTGGTCTCCCAGTTGTTGAGGCAACAAGATGTACGAGGACGACAAGGCGCATTCTCCATTGCCGAACTTAAATCTCTTGGGCGCTTTGTCCAGGACATGAACTTGTTCTGCAATCCCTAGGTGACGATATCGAGCATGCATGAGCTGTTCTACTGCGGGGAGGGATCCTACCGTCTCGGTTGCCCCGGTGTCCAGCACTGCAAACCCAGAAAGATCAGGCTCTCCTAGGTCATTCTGACTCATAAACGTGGGAACTTCCGGAATCATCTCGTCAAGGGGCTCCGCCGTCACGGTGAAGACAGACGCCTCCGCGAGATGCACAGCTCCATGCCTCGTGCTCTTGGATCCTTTCCCTTGTCGGCGAGGACAGGACCTGAAGTCATGATCCTTTGAGCCGCAAATGAAGCAGCCCGTGTATCCTGGCTGGCCCACTGCTGCTCCGAGGAAGCCATTCTCGTCCGCAGCGGCCATCACAGGCGTAGAGGAGGAGGCCGTAGTCATCGATGGCCCTTTTCCCTTGGGTCTAAATCGCCCTTTGGATCCTTTCTTACCCTTGCCGATGCCCTTGCTCTGCGGGACGAAAGGATAAAAACCTCGAGAGAGGTTGCGTGCCTTTACCGCTTGCCGGGCTTGCACAAAGTTCCGGACCTTGGCCTCTGCCATTGCGTAGGCCTCGTCGACCTCCTTGTGCTCTTCTGGTGTCAGAAGATCGTCGTATTCATCCCAGTTCCACCAGGCTGAGTCGTCCCACGGCATCGTCGTCTCGGTCTCTGAATGAGACCACCAAGCGTCCTCGTGGTACGGGGGCTCTTCGAACGAAACCAGGCCTTGAGGGTATACTTGAGGCGGTAGTCGAGTACCGATGTAGATGGTGTCCGCGGCGTCCAGGGACTCTTCGAGCTCTGCGCTTTCCACCACCATTGACCATTCGCCGGCCTCTTCGACCCAGAAGGTCCTTCGACGATGATCCCCTTTGGAGGATCCCTTGCCCATGACTTCTTGATTCACCAGCTCGTCTTCCATGCCGCGTAGAGCCTTTTCAATGTCTTCGAGGCGGAGACTGTTACCAGCGGCGGCTTGCACAGCTAATCGTGCCTGTGTTCCCAGGTTGGCCCTCCTGAGAAGAAGCCACCCAAGAACTTCTGAAGGCAACACTTCCGGAAGATGTTCTTCATGCGCTTCCCACAGACTCAGATCCTCCAGTGCTTTCACCGATGTATCGGAGTCGGACTCTCTTCGGTCCCGGTGGCGCCTCCAAGAAGGAGAGGTAGGACTCCCTGGTTTCAACTCTTCTTCTTCCACATCTCCGGGTCCGATAGTTGCCGTCTCGTCCTGTTCGGCCTCGCCAACGATTTGTTCGGCCTGCGGTTCCTCCACGGTCAAGTTGCTTGCCCGCCGCTTTGGAGAGGTTCCAGGGGTGGAAGTATTCGGCGTGGGGGATGTCGGGCTTGCTCTCTTGGTGTCCTCCTGAGTCCTCACGCGGTTGAGGGCTACCTGGAGGTGGCGGTACTGCTGTCTAAGGTGGGCAGCCCAAGTCGCCATAGATTGATGTGGCTGCCGTTTCATCCTCAAGATGAGTGCCTCCAAGCGAACCCCTATGTCTGGGACGGGAAGCCGTCCGAGAGCTTCCTTCAAGTACTGCAGGAGGTAGACAACCCCATTCCTCCGGCACAGTTGTTTGTGGTCGATGCTGCCAGTGATAGACCAGGCGCGGTCAGACAGTTGGCTGACGATCTGAGGGCCAAGGAGGTGCCGACGCTTGCGAGGCGTCTGCTCGAATGCCAATCTCACCCTCCTGGTGAAATCTGTCCATCCAGACGCTTCCCCATTCCATGAACATCGCAAGTAAGGCTCGTGCTTATTGTCGGATGTCATAGTTCAGGCGAACACCGATGTTATCCTTTCGAAAGTCGATGTTGTCCTTGTCGGGAGCCCGCCCGCCTGCACGTAGTTCAGCAAGATGAGCCGGCCACCCAAGTCACGGATGACTTCAGTCAGAGTTGCCGTAGGTATCCTTCCAGCAGCTCCAGGTCCCCAACAACAGACCGAGCTCCGCTACCAGTATCAGTGACTGGGTAGCTT